GGTTAAACCGGGGTTTGTTGGAACTTTGTGATTAGAGTTTGTTTAAACGTTTTTGTTTTAAGCCATCAATTATATTCATTCTATTATCGTTCATAGATTATTTTTATTATTTTATAACTATCCATACTGACATACTAAATTGGAGTTTAAATCAAGGATCTCATTATTTAGCATGTGTTTTCATTTATTTAAATCTTGCTACCGCACGTCATTGACACGGCTTGTACTTTATTATTTTAAACACAAGCCATTGGTTTCACTTTTTTAATATCAGTTGAGTTCTTAAAAATAATTGTTTTCAACTCTTTACAAATCTATGTTTAAAATGTTGTGCCTTTAAAACTTAAACCTTTTGAAAGTTCTTTTATTTAGTTTTTCAAAGAGGTTTGTTGTTTAAATTTAAATTATTTTTTCACAATACTATTTTAATTTTTCTTGAAACTATTTACGGTAACGGCTATTAGAAAATTTGTAAAAATGCAGTTGTAAAAGAGTTATCGGCATTAATAATTTATTTTATATGCGTTATTATAAACGAAAGGCATAAGCAAAAGGTATGACATCAAGCGATACGATGCTTGCTGCTGTCAAAAGAGTAGATGAAAATAGAGAGAAATGCCAAGGAGTTGCAACAGACCTTGGAATTTCTCATGTGATACTCAGAAGATACTGCATCAAAGTCAAAGCGGTGCCAAGCACTCCGACCAGTTTAACTGTGTGGTGTTTGGCATCGCTTCGCATCACAATAACCGATGGGTTTTTACTATGGAAGAAGAGAATGAGCTTACGAGGTACATATTAAAGGCTTCGTACGTATACTATGGCCTCACTTCTGCAGAAGTGCAAAATTTTTGTTTATAATTACGCAAAAAAAACTAAATATAAAATTCCTCTTTCATGGGAAAAGAACAAGCGTGCTGCTGCATAATGGTTTTCTTCGTTCCTAAAAAGAAAACCAGAGCTTGCAATAAGAATGCCCGAAGCTACATCGCTGAGTCGTGCCATCAGCTTTAACAGATATAATTTGAATTTATCGAAAATTTAAATTCAGTAATAACAAAGTACAGCTTTACCGCAACAAATATTTGTAATGAGAGACAGGTTGTAAAATTGTACAAAAGCTACAAAAGATTCTTACCGGAAAGCTTTCAAATCGGCCGAGAGAGGAAAGTTAGTAGCAGTGTGTTGTGCTGTGAGTGCTTCTGGAAATACTGTTCCACCAATGCTTATTTTTCCTACAGTAAACATTTGTGACCATTTTGTTTATGATGCTCCAACAGGACGCATTGGAACTGCAAATCCATCCGGATAGATGAATGGTCAGAATCTTTTGCTGTTCGTAAAGTACTTTATGACTCATGTATGATGCACCCCACAGCGACTAGCTTTATTGCAACTTGACAATCTTGAATCGCACATTAACCTAGAAGTTTTGGATTTTGCGAAACTTTTAAATTATTTGAAAGGATTTAGCCGATATTGGACGTTTCAACACAACGAGTTTCAAAAAAAATTGGCCCTAAAAAAAGAAGGACTTGCATTTTAACTTATACACCGGAGAAAGACAAGATTGCCAGAAACAAAGTAGCAAAAGAAAAGAAAATACAGACAAAAACTGCATAGAAAGTTCCAGAAAAGAAAATACAGACAAAAATTACACCAAAGTAAGGTTATTAAAAAAAGTCGCGCAACAAAAAAACCTTAAAACTGTTAAAAGTCTTCATTAACCAATAATAGCGAGCAAGAAGCAGCATACATATACTGCTGAAAACTATTTGGTGAGTCCAATCCGGGAGAAAAGTGTATTATGTGCTCTGTGTGTTACCTTTGGGTTCACGAGGCATGCTCAAGTACTGATTTACATGCTGCTGAATACATCTGTGACTCCTGTGCTGATGACTGATTTATATATATATATATATATATATATATATATATATATACATATATATATATATATATATATATATATATATATATATATATATATACATATATATATATATATATATATATATATATATATATATATATATATATATATATATATATATATATATATATATATATATATATATATATATATATATATATATATATATATATATATATATATATATATATATATATATGTACATGTAATGTACTTGTATTATGTTAAAGTGAATTTTTTATTATTAAATATGCCGTATTTTAAATTTTCATATTATGTTTCAACTAACCCCAATTGTGGCGTCTGTTCCAATTAGCCCCAATTGTGGCGTTTGTTGAAACATTTTTTTACAGCTCTGTAATCAAAGATGTATTAATAACTACATAACTAAATTTAATCATTATTAGTGAATATTGAGTGCTTTAGTAAGTAATATTAGGGCAATAAAAAAAAATTTTTAAAATACTTGCATTTTGGCCACAGGTTCACAAATAAAAAAAAAACGTTCCAACTCACCCCGGTCTCCCCTACGTCAGTTATAAAGCATTTTAAAAATTAAAATATACGTATTCTAGAGAAGGTTGAAGACGTATTTATATGTATATTTAATGTTTTGTTGCCTGCTGGTACCAATGCTGCTTTTTTATATATTTTTTATATTAAGTTCGTTTTTAGTTTTTTTTCTCTTAAATGTCTTGCTTTTGATTGTTAAACTTTCTTTGATACCTTTATTAATTGTTTTTAAGATTTTCATAAACTCACATTGCATTTTAAATTCAGCTTTTAACTTTCTATTTGGCTTTTCTAACTATTCAAACTTTACTTTTGAATAATTTCTTTCTTTAAATAATTAGCCAAATCTGTCATTTAAAAATTTTAGGTTTCCAGATTTTAAAATGTCATTCTGTTGTTTATGAGACATTTTTGAAAGATTTCACATACCATATTTATTGAGGAAACTGATTCATCTGTTTTAATATAATCGTTGTTTATTTTTTTGAGTTCAATATTATTTTCTTACCCGTTGCAATCTTAAATTTAGGCTTGTGATCAAATGACTTAAAATTAGAAGACCTACATTTAACATCTACATTAAACAGAAGCTATATTATCATATCAAAATCAACTTAATCCTTTATAACATTGTCAAGATCATTTTAAATACCAAGACAATTATATTCTCCAGCATTCAGTTCTATGGTTTGATCCTTACCTAATGTTATGAATATTGTTCGCAAATCTTTTGGTAATTAATGACCATGAAATTTTGAAGTTTTCAACAAATCATTATAATACCGCCTTAGTATATTAGTGTTGGAGAGCGAAAATACAAATGCGTTCAGATAATAGTTTATTAAAACCAGGGGTCAATCTACGTGGAGGGGGATTGCGTAAAAGGTTTGATAATTCTTTCCTAAAGAAGGCGGTTTTCAAGTTAAAGTTGATTTTTTGAGGGATATAGTCGTTTAGTCAGGTATTTGACGCATTTTAGTAAGGTGATTTTTTGATTATTAAATTGATTATTAAATTATGGATGGAGCATAGAGTATTTCCTGCTTTTAATTTATATCAAGGCTTTTGATAGAGTTTTAAAGTTGTTTATGTAAAAAACAAGAATTTATTATAGTACTTATATTAGTATAAGTACTATAAGAATTTATTATAGTACTCATTATAGTATTTATTAGAGTTATTATAATAATTCTAAACTTTTAAATTTATTTAATACATATTACATGGTTAACTTTAAAAGTTTTATTATTTTTTAAGCATTTAATCATATGGGGACTGAAAGTATATTCGAGAATATATAAGTATAAGGAAATTAACATAAATCAATACATATAATCAATCAAAATAAATGTTTATCATTAACTCATAAAGAGTAAATATTCTTTGGCTATAAAAATGAATAAGCCAAATATATGAGGCATTGATGAATTGTGTCAAATTTACTTCTAATAATACAATTTTAAATGAATGATTGAATACCATTTAAATGTTATCATTTGAATGGCATTTAAATATATCTGAATTTCTATAATTTTTTAGAATGGTTTTTAGATAAACAAATTAGTTAAATCAAACAGATATATTATTTACTGTTTTTTAAATGAACTATTTATTGCACTATAAAAGTATTTAAGCTACATTACTAGCTTTTATTTATTAAATTAATAACTTTTTGTTTACAGCTACGAGAGCTTTTGCCTTGTAATCTTTCTTTTAAACTTTCTAAATAAGTTTTTACCCACTTGTAACAACTTTTTTTTTTTTTTTTTTTTTGTGAGCTTTTTAAATCTATCATAAATAAAAACTAAATATTTTAAATACGAATAGCACGTTCAGTGGCAGATATAATCAGAAACTATTGTTTTAACATTGCATGTGGGCATAAAAATCAAAAGCAATATATAAATAAACTCGATGGCATTACCTAGCGTCTAAGGACATCTAATTACAACAATAAGATGAATTAAAACTAATTAAGACGTTCAAGCAAACCGCGGACAAATAGGCCAAATTAGCTAGCCCATGAGACGTTTAAGAATGTCCAATTTTACTGGGTCTGATCATGTAAAACTTTGTCTGGTTTACTGTTATCAACTCCTTGAAACCTTAAATTAAAAGGTGCTTAAAATTCTTTTTTAAACTTTTTTAAAAAGAAAGATTACAAGTCTTTAGTAAGCCTCTTTCAACCATAAAACTCTAACTAAACATGGTATTATCAGGGTTGCGCTGAAAGCTGTAATTAGCAATTCTTGTTTATGACGCAAACTTTATACATCTATATTGCGCCGCATTAGAAAAACAAAATTTTAACCAACACTAAAGCAACTAGATTTGGTGATTTACAACAATAGTTATTTTTAGTTGTATTAACTAAAAATAGAATGTAACCCATCAATTTTTTCAATATTTTTTTTTCCTGTTTGTTTTGTGTTCTTGTTACAAGTTTTATACTGTGTAATGAATTCGAAAATTACAAAAATTAGACAATTACACAACAGAAATATCATTCAGGGATCAAAAATTTATTTAAATTGTTGTTGTTTTTTTTTTCTAGAGATTTTTGGCACTGATTGTTTAAATGAAAGCTATGAGTACGGCAGCTATTGCTACTTTTTTTATGGAAATGTAGCTCATGAAGGTGTAGATTGGCATAGTGCTCTCTACTTATGTAAAAATATGGGAGGAAATTTGTTAAGTGTAACAGACCAAGCAGAAAATTTATTTATTTTAAACCATCTTAAAAATGAAAGTTTGAAAAACCAGTACTTCTGGATTGGTGAGTTAATTGATTGTGTTTCACAATTATTGTTATTGCCTAAAACTATTTATTACAACAAAACTTTTTTATAATTTAAAAAGGTCTTAATGCAATTAAAAGAACTTTTGCTTGGACTGATAATACAGCTCCACTTTTTATTAATTGGAAGAATAGTGAACCTGATAATTTTGGTGGAGACGAGCTTTGTTCTGAAATAACTACTAATGGCTGGAATGATATTAGTTGTGACAACCACTTTGGATTTATTTGTAAAACTAAGCAAGGTATTATTAACTAAAAAATTTTTTTTTTAAATATAACAATTAATATATGTATCTAAATATTTAACTTTTTTAAAAGAAATTTTATAAATATATGTATATTTAAACAATTTAAAATGTATTCTACAAAAAGAGTGCTCAATGTTCTTAAAAGAACAGAGCAATTACAAATTAGTAGAAAATCACTTAGTAAAATTTTTTCTCATTTAACACTGTGTTTCATCAATAAAGACTCATCAGAAATCAATTTCTGAGGAGTCTTTATTGATGAAACACAGTGTTAAATGAGAAAAAATTGAAATGAGAAAAAGTGATTTTCTACTAATTTCTAATTTATATATATATATATATATATATATATATATATATATATATATATATATATATATATATATATATATATATATATATATATATATATATATATATATATATATATCAGCTAACAGGAAAGTTTAATTATGTTTAAATAGTATATGTAAGTAATGATAATAATGTAAAAATAATAAAAATCTTTATGTAATACTGTTATGTTTATGCAATAATATAAAGTAAACAAACATTATACATGTAAAATGTGCGTCTTTCGCATTTAATAAATGATATTGTGATTCTTTCTTTAAATAAATTGTTGCTTTTCATAACAAAGAAAAAAATTTTAGAAGAACTTTAACATTTCTTTGCAATAAAAAAGAAACAACTTAAGGAAAGAGGAAGTAAATCCAAATCTTGCATCTAAAAAATATAGTTGTGATTTTATTTTTAAAGTTAAAGCATTGCTTTTGTCCCCAGTAAGCACAGGGCGTTTTTAAAATATTTAAAAAACTTCTCTTCGGGCATTTGTTTTAAATGTTACGTTTTAAATGTCTTTTAAACGTTTTTTAACCGTCTTTTAAACGTTTTTTACGTAAGTTTAGAAGACATTCAAAATACATTTAGAACATAACTTTTGAAAACAAATGCCCGCTGGGTTATTAAAACAAATATTAACGTTTTTTAAATGTTTTAAAAACGATCTGTGCTTACTGCGTTAAGTAATTTCTTGCCTTTTAAAGCATTGTTATTAAAAAATATTTCGATTAAATTTTTTTATAACGTTTTATCATTAAAAAAAAACAAATTTTTAATAATAAAAGCATTTGCTTTGCATTTGTTACGCAAATTTTAGTAATTTGTTAAGCAAAATATCACTGATAAAGGTTATTTGATAGTAGCCAGACCATTATAATAGCGTTTTATAATCATCGAAATCCGTACATTAGGCAGACCTTCTAATAAATAAAATCCTTTTTATTTGCTTTTCATATTTATCGACTTTAACTTTTTTGAAATACCGTAAATTGCTAAACTATAGTAAACTGTTTAACAATATATTAAACTAGCTGAGATCGGACCCGTAAAAATACGGGTCTTTGTAAGTCTATTCCAAACCGAACTTTTCTTTACTTTTTCCCTATACATCCTTGCTTTCCGGATCCATAAAATACGGGCCTTAACCAAGCCTAACCATTCTATCCATATTTTTTCTGCACTGATTATTATATATCGATTCCTTATTTAATTCAATATTTTTTAGTAAAACAATTTATTCTAAATAAAACATTCAAGAGTAAAAAACTTAACATGTGCACCTTTTCCGCATATATAGAGCTTATAAAAAACATATAATTATGTTTATTTTTTTACTAAATGCATTTCCTTTGATAGCTCACTAGTTAAGTGCGCTGTCATCAGTTTTGTTTTAGAGGGTTTAAGATTTTTCTTCAGCGTAATAAACTCGGACATTTTTTAATAATGCTTATATACTTATAACAAAAAAACAACAATTTAGCAAAAAAGATTTCTAAAAATATAAAGTTTTCTCATTCTATAGATATATCAGCTGTCATGACCCGTAAAAGTCGGGTCTTGGTAAATTTATTCTACATCGCCATTTTCCAAAATTATTCTACATAAATTATAAATTTATTCCACATCGTCTTTTTCTATACTTATTCCTTACTTCAATATTTTGTAGTGAGCTGAAGAAAAAAAGGTATATACATGTAGAAAAACTATCATTATTGTTTCCTTCTTAAATCAATGAAAAATAAAAATTTCTATTATAGTTAACCTTAATAAACTTTAAATGTTACGGTAACGTTACGTTGCGTAAATCGCCAATTGGATACCTGTCTAAATACCTGCTTGAAACGTGTAAAAAGTTTCACCTGACCGGACCCGTAAAAACACGAGTTTTTTTAAGTCTATTCCACACTGACCTTTTCTATTCTTTTTCTTTATGTGTATATCCTAATTTTCCTAACCAGTAAAATACGGGTTTATACTAAAGCGACAATTTCTATACTAATTTATTCCACACAAATCATTTCTTAACTTTAATATTATTTGGTAAAATAAAATAATTCAAAAATTTCTTTAAGCGCGATTTCAGACAGAATTAGCAAAAAAAATTAACATGCGCATCTTTTCCGTATACGGATCTTATAAGAGTATCTTAATATAAGTGGATCTTATGAGATTTAAAAAATAGTTTGTTTTTCTCATAAAAAGAGAGACTCTATTCCACATTAACTTTGTCTATATTTCTCCTAATATTTTTTTAGTGAAGAATAGATTACGAGCAAAAATGAAATCTTATATCTATGCGCATCTTTTTCTTATACTTAGAGCTTATTACCACGTATATTTTTTTGGAATGAAAAATTCTGAATTTACTACTAAAAAAATTTAGAAAGAAAATCGTTTCTTTACGGTGTTAGATGCTTAGATTTACCTAATTAAATATGTTATGTACTATTTTCATAGTTATCTAAGTTCCGTCATTTAGCACTTGGTTTTGAATGTTTAGCGGAGGCTAAAAAGGCTGTTTAGCGGTATTCACCTCCGTATGTCGGCACGCTAAACGCTCGACCATATTTCAGCTTACTTTACTTAAGTTTTAAATTATTTAAAAAGCAAAAGACTGTATATAACAAAGATAAATGCTACAGATCAAAATTAAAAAGATGTTGTCGTAATGCAAGTAAAACTGTAAAACATGATATTACATATTTATTATTAACAAACTTGATCTTACATACATAATAAAAATACACTAAATATACAGTTTCGTTCAAAGATACACCTTCGTTTAAAGATTTTTCGTTCACATTTTCTTATAAAACAAAGCTGTTGCAACTCTCTCTCTCCACATTACCTCGATTGCAATGACTGCCAAGAGGTCTGTATCAAACAGGCCCGAAAGGTCACTACTACTATTAACTTTAGTATTATTAAATAGATAAAAAGAATATTCATATTTTTCAATTTTGATTACTCATTTCTAAAATAAAATAGAAATCTTTATTCTTTTGTCAAAAACAATAGTTATGTTAATTCTGAATTAAGATTAAACCTTTAAAAAGAACACAATAAATAAACTTTTAATAGAAAGAAATGAAACTTACTTATTACTTGATAAGCGATATAAGAAAACGATTTGGGCATATTTTCAGTCGTTTTAGAGTACAGTTGGCGCTCATGCCATAATCCAAGAATCAGATAATTTAAAATCTTTTTATAAAGCTGTTTTTATTACCGGATTTGGTGGATTTAATTAGATGAACCGCAAAGACATTATTTTAGTCGTTTGAGAGTTGGCGCACATATCGTAATACAAAAATTCGTTGATTTTGAATCTTAAAGTTAAGCTGTTTTTATTATAGGGTTTGGCGAATATAAGAAGATGACATAATAATAACGAATCTAAAATTGAAGTTTTATATTTTTCACTTGGATGTCAATATGTTTTGTTTTTAAATATAATATATTTTAAATTTAATATTAGGCACTTCAACATTTTTTTTTAAAAATGTAAAATGAAAACAAAACAAACTCCGTAAGTTAGAGCTAAACATGATCAGTTAAAAAATAAAAAACTTATTGTTATATTATTATTAGTTGAAAACTTATTGAACTTTTAAACCACAAAATTTAAGATTTTTTTTGTATGACTTTTGAGGTTTTTAGCGACTCAACGTTTTTAAGAATCGCGACAACGTTTCCAAAGTAATAATAAACAAGACCGTTACTATTCAAAACTAAGAATATAATACCAATAAAAACTATAGTAAATGGACTTTTAATGAATAGGAAACAACCCACATTTGACATAATAAATCTGTGACAGTACTTTTTTTAAAAAAATTTATTTAATGGTAATGCAAAATAGGTTTTCCAAAATAATAAACTGGTTTTAAAAACTTAATTTCCGTCTTGAAAATTGATGAGTTGAGTCTTGAAAATTGACCAGTGCTAAAAAAAAATTTTTTTAAAAGTTTACTTTTTGGTGGGAGGCATATTTTTTGTGTGATCTACGCTTGCGTTTAAAAACATGCACATTATTAGCTTAATATAATGCTATAGTTGATTTTTTTATTAATTCAAAAAAACACTAAATGCCTTCAAAAATATTTGGGTTATAAAATGACTTTAGTTTTTGATTCAAATTATCTCTAAAAACGAAACCTTAATAAAATATTTTTGGTACTGTTGATAAGCTGTGGTTCTACTTTTTGGAATAAACAAATAAAAAGTTTTTGTATTTTAAGTCATCAGATGCACGATTAAAGAACATACAACTCAAACTTTTTTGTCGGCATAAAACCTCAGATCTTTTTTCTTTAGCCGTGTTTTATCGATTATCGATATTACACGCTCAGATGTTGAAGTGCCTATTAATATATTTTAAATAAAACAAACCTACTTATCACTTAACCTACTTAAACATCAAAACAAAACTGCTTGAGCAAAAAAGACTTGCAATTATTAGAAAAGTTTACTTATGTTCCATACGATCCTGAATTAAACGTTTTATAAGTGGATTTCATAATTTTATAAACAATATATATAAACAAATTACATATTTTTTTATATAAATTGTTTATATAGGGATGGTTAGCCGCCAAACCTGCCTATTCAACAAAGTTTAATATAAGTTAGCTTTATTATTTTTTATTGTT